GCTGCAAACAAGGGCACTCTGCAAAGAGCTCTTCTAAATTAATAAAGGTATATTAATAAACATTTTTAATAGATCCTTTGAAATGTCATTTACCATCAATAGCACTTGGAAAGGTTGAGAGGAAAAGAGCTTTTAGTAGAAGTCTGAAAGGCACTGTTTGAACAGAAGAATATTTGTGAGCCCTGCCTTGGGTCTCTGATGTGCCTCAAAGTACACTCAGGAACCGCTGGGAAAAAAGAAGTCATGCACACTCTGAATCTGTACTTTCTTATTTCTCATACACTTCTTCCAGGCTTGCTATACTAAATATAGACCTTTGCATTGCTAGAATAAAATCTGCTTTTTTGTAGGTTGTGTTTACAGTGTGCCCAAGTTACAGGCTGTGAGCACATTGCTTGTGAAGAAGCAGCAGATCCAGAGAGAACAGTGTTACAAGACTATCTGTCACTCTGCCAACCAAGACAAAGTGAGTATCATGGAGGCTGAGGACATTTTCTCTGGGAATTTCAAGAGCTGTCTTGAAAGGTGAAACCCTTCCAGATATATCTTGGTGAATGTACCACTAGCAAGGGTGAAGAGGCAGTCCAGCAATGCGTAGCAGCAGGAGAAACCCATATTAACAGAGTAACTGCTAGCAGCAGAGGCTTTGGCTCAGATTGCCAGAATTTAAGCTGTGAAAGACACATCTGGGACAGCAAGTTGGAGAAGATTCCTGCCTCACATAATAAAGAAGAAACATTTGGCTTTGGTCATGGATACATCATTGTCCTCTTCAGTTGGAGACACTCTGTGTTATTCCTCTCTCCTTGAGAGACTGTCTCCTACCCAAGTAGCACCAAAATATCTTTACCCTGAAGTAGGAGGACACCACTCCAGACCTTGATATATCAATAAAGACACTATGTGTTGTGATGGTATCTCACCCAGGTGTCAGAACTGTAGAAGCCTTCATATCAACAATATTGAAGACCTCCAGTCTTTGATGTGTCTCAAAGGGCTTGCTTTCTTCCAGTAAATTTTTTTGACTATCACAGGAAGAAAGGTGGAATAAAAATGAAAGTGAAAAGAAGTGACTGCTCATTCATTGCTACCTGACTTGCGGAATTAATATGCTGTAAAGCTTGTTTGATCAGTGTTAACATCTTACAGAAAAAGAGTATTTTAATGAAATGAGAACATTTGCTTTTCTGATACCTTGGAGACAAGGGGTTAACAAATATAAAATACAGACAGGAGTAGATGTGATCTCCTGACCAGTTTCCTGGGAGTTTTTTTGGCTGAATACTGCCTGGTTTCTTGAAGATGTAATGGCACAACCAAAGATGATGACAGAAATAGAAACATTGGAGAAGAACAAACTGTATTTGCACTTAGTGCTCATTTGCTTGGCAAACACGCATGGTCATGTTCTGAGGATTTAATATCACAGCTTTGGTTTTGGCACAGTATTTTTTTTAAGTAAATGTCAGACAGAGGTGTGCAGGGGAGAAAAAAAGCCATATTTGGAGAGTGATTAAAAAGCATTCAGCATCTGTCTCCCAAATCATACCTGTCATCCCTGCACACACATATATATATATTTATATATATATTTTTCCAGCTCATTATGGAGTCAGTCCAAAAGCCACACTGACACTGTGCAGCTGCAGCATCCCTAGGACATTCTAAAGAACAGATCTCCTGTGTGTCCACCACCTTATTCAGCTCATGAAGCTTTTTTTGTAAGCCCACAACACCGTCATTCTAGCTGGAGCATTGCATTGCCTGGTTCTCACACAAGCCACCAGCATACTTCTTGGGTTATCTAGTTCTCCCCACACCAACACTTCTATCTGGAGCTCCTGCAGCCATCCACCCAAGAAAGCCCTCTGCATTCCCATGCTCTTGTGTAATGCCCCAGATCTGGCATGTAGGACATGTCTCTTAAAATACTCTGGAGCAAAGCCATGCTAGCAAAGATGCTGCTTTACAGAAAGTATGTTCCCTATTCTAGAGATATCCATCCCTTCTCCAGACTCACCTGAGCCCCCGTTTCAGTAATCTTCAGCCACCCATAACCTGACCAAAGGCTAGGTGTACTGATGGCCAAGGAGACACAAACCCATTGCAGCATGACAAGCCTGAAGTTTTTATGTTAGAAGGGAAGAAATGAGCCTTGTACAAGACTATCAGAGGACACTTTTTACATGATTCAGAGCCCTTTAATCATTCCTAGAACAGTGCAGAAAGGCTTGGCACTGCTGCACTATCACCCTTCTGAGTCTCAGAATGAGTTCAGTTTTCAGAGCAAATTTTTCAAAACCAGCCACTTATTTGGAGGATCCTATCATTTTTTTGCCACTTTTCCCACTGATTGGAAAACAGGAAACATAATCCCCATTTTTAAGAAGAAAAAAAAGGAAGCCCTGGGAAACTACAGGCCAGTCAGTCTCACCTGTGTGCCTGATGAGATCAGGAAGCCGATCCTCCTGGAAACTATGCTAAGGCACATGGAAAATAAGGAGGTCACCACTGACAGCCAACGCAGCTTCACTAAACGCAAATCATGCCTGACAAATTTGGTGGCCTTCTATGATGGGGTTACAGCATTGGTGGATAAGGGAAGAGCAACTGACATCATCTACCTGGACTTGTGCAAAGCATTTGACACTGTCCCACACAACATCCCTGTCTCTAAACTGGAGAGACATGGATTTGATGAATGGAACACTCGCTGGATAAGCAATTGGCTGGATGGTTGCACTCAAAAAGCTGCGGTCAACGGCTCGATGTCCAAGTGAAGGCCAGTGACAAGGGGGGTCCCTCAGTTGTCAGTACTGGGACAGGTGCTGTTTAACATCTTTGTCGGTGACATGGACAGTGGGATTGAGTGCACCCTCAGCAAGTTTGCTGGTAGCATCAAGCTGTGCAGCATGGTCAACACACTGGAGGGAAGGGACGCCATCAAGAGGGACCTGGACAGGCTTGAGAGGTGGGCCTGTGCTACGCTCATGAAGTTCAACAAAGCCAAGTGCATGGGTCAGGGCAATCCCAAGCACAAATACAGGCTGGACAGAGAATGGATTGAGAGCAGCCCTGAAGAGAAGGACTTGGGAATGCTGTTTGATAAGAAGCTCAACATGACCCAGCAACGGGCGCTTGCAGCCTAGAAGGCCAACTGTACCCTGGGCTGCATCAAAAGAAGCGTGACCAGCAGGTTGAGGGAGGGAATTCTCCCCCTCTGCTCTGCTCTGGTGAGACCCCACCTGGAGTATTGAGTTCAGCTCTGGGGCCCCCAACATAAAAAAGACATGGACCTGTTGGAGGGAGTCCAGAGGAGGATCACAAAGATGATAGAGGGCTGGAGCACCTCACCTGTGAAGACAGGCTGAGAGAGTTGGGGTTGATCAGCCTGGAGAAGAGAAGACTTCAGGGAGACCTTAAAGCAGCCTTCCAGTACCTGAAGAGAGTAGGGGACAGTGTGACAGGTTTATGCAACTGCTCAGATCTCACTTAAAGTAGGGATTACAAGCCAGGATTCAGATGTCATGGCAGGGGGTAGAGAGCATTTCCCTGAATGTTACATTTAGCAGATGTATAGTTCCAGGGGAATTCATATTCACTGAACAAAATCAGAATTTAAAATTAGTACTAACCAAAAGCCTTCTGTGGAATATTCTTTGGTATGAAAATGAGTTGATTATAGTCTCATGTCTCATTCCAAAAAAGTGTCTAAATGCCTAAATTTTAATGCATTTGAAAAGGAACATTTTGACTATGCAGGAACTAAACATTTCAATGTTTTGTTTTGCACTGACTCATTTCAGAATGATATCATATATAGGTTTTTTATATTCTGTTTCTTTCAAACAGAGATGCACATATACTTTTATATAAATACATATATGCACATACATTATATGTATTTTACATATATATATTTAATAATTTTGGTTTGTGTTAACATGTTAAACAATATCTTTTCTTCCCACTCAGAACAACAATGAGCAAAAGCAAATATAAAACATGGAATGAAATTGGACAGAACCAGATACTTCTCATTTAGATACAACACATTCTTCTGCACAGCAGCATGATCCAGTTCGAAGATAAAAGTGTTATCTTCCTGACAAAGAAACAAATTCACACGCCTTGAGCATCAGCTACCCTTCTTCAGCACAATGATCAGCTTATCAAGCCCGTTCACTGCCCTAATAAATGTGAAGGACTGAAGCCAGTTGTGAACCTGCTGAAAGCAGTTTCCTCATACCCGTGCTGCAAGCTGCAAAGAGCAGATCTGTGAGAAGTGAGGTCATCTGGACTGTCAAAAAACATTTCTGAAGTGTTTGCTAGCGTGCCTCCAGCAGCAAGACCACCAAGATATATTAGAGAGAGAAACATAGAATCATTCAGGTTGGAAAAGACACTTGGCTTTGTTAAACCTCATACAGTTGGCCTTGGCCCATGGATCCAGCCTGTCCAGGTCCCTCTGTAGAGCCTCCCTACCCTCCAGCAGATCAACACTCCTGCCCAACTTGGTGTCATCTACAAACTTACTGAGGGTGCGCTCAATCCCTTCACCCACACCATTGATAAAGATGTTAAACAGAACTGGCCCCAGTACTGAGCCCTGGGGAACACCACTTGTGACCGGCCACCAGCTGGGTTTAGCTCCATTCACCACAACTCTTTGGACCTGGCCATCCAGACAGTTTTTAACCCAGTGAAGTGTATGCCTGTCCAGGCCATGAGCAGTCAGTTTCTCCAAGAGAATGCTGTAGGAAATGGTGTCAAAGGCTTTACTAAAGTCCAGGTTGACAACACCCACAGCCTTTCCTTCATCCACAAAGCAGGTCACCTTGTCATAGAAGGAGACCAGTCAAGCAGGACCTGCCTTTCCTAAACCCATGCTGGCTGGGTCTGATCACCTGGTTGTCCTGTATGTGCTGCATGATGGCACTCAGGATGCTCTGCTCTATAACCTTCCCTGGCACTGAGGTCAGACTGACAAGTCTGCAGTTCCCTGGATCCTTCTTCTGGCTGTTCTTGTAAATGGGCGTCACACTTGCCAATCTCCAGTCAACTGGGACCTGCCCAGTTAGCCAGGACCGCTGATAAAGGATGGAAAGTGTCTTGGTGACCATTTCTGCTAGCTCCATCTAAGTGGTGCAGCAGATCACTAACCATTTCCCCTTGGATTATGGGGGCTTCATTCTTCTCTCTGTCCCTGTTTTCCAGCTCAGGGGGCTGGGTACCCCCAGAACAACTGGTCTTACCATTAAAGACTGAGGCAAAGAAGGCATTAGGCACCTCAGCCTAATGTTTGTCCTTTGTCACTATGTTTTCCCCCCACATTTAATAAAGGATGGAGATTCTCCTGAGCCCTCCTTTTGTTGCTAATGTATTTATAGAAACATTTTTTATTGTATTTTACGGCAGTAGCCAGACTAAGCTCTAGTTGGGCTTTGGCCCTTCTCATTTTCTCCCTGTATAACCTTATGACATCCTTGTAGTCCCGCTGAGATGCTTACCTCTTCTTCCAAAGGTCATGAACTCCTTTTTTTCCTGAGTTCCAGCCAAAGCTCTCTGTTCACCAGGCTGGTCTTCTTCCCCACCCTTTTTGGCCCATGGGGGTGGCCTGCTCTTGTACCTTTAAAGTATCCTTCTTGAAGAATGTCCAGCCTTCCTGGACTCCTTTGCCCTTCAGGATGGCCTCCCAAGGGTCTCTGTGAACCAGGCTCCTAAACAGGCCAAAGTCTGCCCTCCAGAATGCCAAGGCAGCGGTTCTGCTGACCTCCTCCAAGAATCACAGAATGGCAAGGGTTGGAAGGTTGTAGAATCTCCTTCTCTGGAGATATTCAAAGCCCGCCTGAATGAAATCCTGTGTAACATGCTCTAGGTGAACCTGCTTTAGCAGGAGGGTGGGACTAGATCTCCGGAGGTCCCTTCCAACCCTTGCCATTCTGTGTGTGATTCTGTGTGGAAGGGACCTCCGGAGATCATCTAGTCCAACCCTCCTGCTAAAGTAGGTTCCCCTGGAGCAGGTTGCAACAATTTCATGATTGCTGTGCCCAAGACATCCTCCAACCATCACATCACCCACCAGTCCTTCTCTGTTCATGAACAACAGGTCCAGCAGGCACCTCCCCTGGTGGGCTCACTCACCAGCTGTGTCAGGAAGGTCTCTTCCACACAGTCCAGGAACCTCCTAGGCTGTTTCCCTTCTGCTGTATTTTATTTCCAGCAGACATCTGGTTAGTTGAAGTCCCCCATGAGAAAAAGGGCTAGTGATTACTCCATTTTGCTAATAGTTTATGGAATCATGTTAAAATATTTGCTTTGCCATCCCTCGGGCGTGCTTTGTAGAAGAACCCAAAGCTGACTGATTCATCTCCTATAACAAACATTTTGTTTCTCCTTGCTCTTTCGAGGTCTGAAGGTCATTTGAAAAGTACGTGTGGGCTAGCAGCACAGGTATAGAATAATGTCTTTAAGTTTCACACCATTTTCACAGAGTTCAGAAGATACAGTACTCAATGCTCACGTATTGTCCATGTCTTTTTTGCTATTTCTTGTCCATATCAACACAAGCTGCAGTCATACCTAATGTCAAATCATCTGCATGTGAAGACTGTCATCATACTTTGCCAAGCCACCATTAGTTCCCACCGAATCCCATTTAATTAGGGGACTCTAAAGAACTTTCTTTTTTCTGACTGCCACTTTTTGCCTTGTAGCTTTTGGCAGATAGCGAGTCTTACTTGATGGTCTGTCAGCTGGAATTTTCAATAGCCTCAACTGACACATCATTTGTCTTTGTCTCTCACTCTATCTGTTATCTTTACCTGATTTTGGTTCTGATTATTCTTTTACCTTCTCAAGCCACAGGAATACACAGTTTAAGACCTGAGCTGTAATAACTAAAAGGACAGGGGTACTGCCTACTCTGCCTTGTTTGATAGATGCAGGAGGTCTGGCCTCCTGGATCTCTGCTCTTTGTTAGTCAGGAAGCTGACAGGTCTGAGGCCATCATCTCTAAGGAACATTCAGTCCTAAAGGCAATGGCAACTACTGTTGCCTTCAAGTCTGCACCTGGATCCTTCTTCTGGCTGTTCTTGTAAATGGGCGTCACACTTGCCAATCTCCAGTCAACTGGGACCTGCCCAGTTAGCCAGGACCGCTGATAAAGGATGGAAAGTGTCTTGGTGACCATTTCTGCTAGCTCCATCTAAGTGGTGCAGCAGATCACTAACCATTTCCCCTTGGATTATGGGGGCTTCATTCTTCTCTCTGTCCCTGTTTTCCAGCTCAGGGGGCTGGGTACCCCCAGAACAACTGGTCTTACCATTAAAGACTGAGGCAAAGAAGGCATTAGGCACCTCAGCCTAATGTTTGTCCTTTGTCACTATGTTTTCCCCCCACATTTAATAAAGGATGGAGATTCTCCTGAGCCCTCCTTTTGTTGCTAATGTATTTATAGAAACATTTTTTATTGTATTTTACGGCAGTAGCCAGACTAAGCTCTAGTTGGGCTTTGGCCCTTCTCATTTTCTCCCTGTATAACCTTATGACATCCTTGTAGTCCCGCTGAGATGCTTACCTCTTCTTCCAAAGGTCATGAACTCCTTTTTTTCCTGAGTTCCAGCCAAAGCTCTCTGTTCACCAGGCTGGTCTTCTTCCCCACCCTTTTTGGCCCATGGGGGTGGCCTGCTCTTGTACCTTTAAAGTATCCTTCTTGAAGAATGTCCAGCCTTCCTGGACTCCTTTGCCCTTCAGGATGGCCTCCCAAGGGTCTCTGTGAACCAGGCTCCTAAACAGGCCAAAGTCTGCCCTCCAGAATGCCAAGGCAGCGGTTCTGCTGACCTCCTCCAAGAATCACAGAATGGCAAGGGTTGGAAGGGACCTCCGGAGATCATCTAGTCCAACCCTCCTGCTAAAGTAGGTTCCCCTGGAGCAGGTTGCAACAATTTCATGATTGCTGTGCCCAAGACATCCTCCAACCATCACATCACCCACCAGTCCTTCTCTGTTCATGAACAACAGGTCCAGCAGGCACCTCCCCTGGTGGGCTCACTCACCAGCTGTGTCAGGAAGGTCTCTTCCACACAGTCCAGGAACCTCCTAGGCTGTTTCCCTTCTGCTGTATTTTATTTCCAGCAGACATCTGGTTAGTTGAAGTCCCCCATGAGAAAAAGGGCTAGTGATTACTCCATTTTGCTAATAGTTTATGGAATCATGTTAAAATATTTGCTTTGCCATCCCTCGGGCGTGCTTTGTAGAAGAACCCAAAGCTGACTGATTCATCTCCTATAACAAACATTTTGTTTCTCCTTGCTCTTTCGAGGTCTGAAGGTCATTTGAAAAGTACGTGTGGGCTAGCAGCACAGGTATAGAATAATGTCTTTAAGTTTCACACCATTTTCACAGAGTTCAGAAGATACAGTACTCAATGCTCACGTATTGTCCATGTCTTTTTTGCTATTTCTTGTCCATATCAACACAAGCTGCAGTCATACCTAATGTCAAATCATCTGCATGTGAAGACTGTCATCATACTTTGCCAAGCCACCATTAGTTCCCACCGAATCCCATTTAATTAGGGGACTCTAAAGAACTTTCTTTTTTCTGACTGCCACTTTTTGCCTTGTAGCTTTTGGCAGATAGCGAGTCTTACTTGATGGTCTGTCAGCTGGAATTTTCAATAGCCTCAACTGACACATCATTTGTCTTTGTCTCTCACTCTATCTGTTATCTTTACCTGATTTTGGTTCTGATTATTCTTTTACCTTCTCAAGCCACAGGAATACACAGTTTAAGACCTGAGCTGTAATAACTAAAAGGACAGGGGTACTGCCTACTCTGCCTTGTTTGATAGATGCAGGAGGTCTGGCCTCCTGGATCTCTGCTCTTTGTTAGTCAGGAAGCTGACAGGTCTGAGGCCATCATCTCTAAGGAACATTCAGTCCTAAAGGCAATGGCAACTACTGTTGCCTTCACTGCCATGAAGAGACAGGTAGGGAACCGAACATCACATTAGATACAGGTCATCCTTCCTGTGGGCTCAGTCCTGGGAACTCTAGAGTTTTGCTCAGCTCCACCACTTTTTTCTGAAGACCTCAAGTCCAAACCTTTGAGAGATAAATCTGCAAGAAAATGCAAGACTGGTCTCCCTCATCCATTTGGACCTTCCCACTCACTGAAGTAAAATTGCAAATAGTACCTTGATAGGCATCACAGCCATGTGAGTGCAGAGTTAAATGGGAGATGAATGTTGCACTTGTCAGTTGGAGTTGGCTTGGTGCAGGACACTGCATCTCCCAGAAGCTACCTGCTACATCCTTAATTATAGCCCTAGGAAAGGTGAAAACCTGGCTCACAAATGCTTTGTAGCAAGTATGTGCAATGTGCACGTAGTCCTTGGTTCTCATTCTGTAGCAGCCATACCATATAGGATATCTGCCACCAATTCTGAGCTTACATGGTAGCTACTTTGCTCAACTAATAAGGTATCTCAGAAATCTTGAGCTTCAGCATTGCTTACTGAAGGGGATGAGAAAGTTTCAGCCACAGTATTGATGCTGACTGCCATGTCACACACACCTGTACCATTTGGCCAAGCACATGGGCATTCTGTTTTCTCTATTCGGATTACAGCTATCCTGATTAGCCACATAGTGTGGACTTTCAATCTTCACAGGAATAAATTCAAATATTTATTTTGCAGTGCAGCTGTGGGAGACAAGAGCTGGGCATAATTTTACATCTGGCAGCACACTCACTCACTAGTTCAGCATCAATCTGTGCTGTAAATAACACTGTGATTCCCAATATGAGTTTTCAGACTTCTTGTGGATTACACTGACTTGTCAACCAATTAGTCTGATCAGTTCGTTGCTGAAACATCTGCTTAGAGTGAAGATGCCTGGTTGTAAGACAAACAAAGAATAAAAATCTCTTTGGGACTGTGGGTGAGAGAACTGCGGATGCATTTTACACAAAGCGAGACCAGAGTTATCAGCCTTCACTCAGTGGTGGCAGGATCAGTTTGCTGTTGTTGATCCTTAAGCTTTATGCTGTAAAGGCATCCAAACTTTTAGCACAGTATGTGTAGGATTTTGTCAGCTTTATCATTCTTGTATACACTGCAGACTGCTGCTTCCTCCCCATGGTGTTCTTCTACATAGACGTTTCTGCTGGAGCTTGATGAGTTTGATCACTCTTAACTGCACTGAAGCTACAGCTTGGGAAAAAATGTGTGTTGGAATGAGGTGGTGAAGATTAAGAAGTTATTTAAAGCTCGCTGCCTGAGGACAGGCGCCCATGGCAAGGGCTGACTAGAAAGGGCCTGAGACCACTTTCTGAGGACACCATGAAGGAAGAAAAACAAATCTCACAGTCTAGGGACTGCCCTGGTCCCTGCTGAGCGAGAGGACTGAAGAATCTTTCCTTTAAAACAACATGCAAGAGTCTGCCTGTGGTATGTGCTGGATTAAAAGCTACTTCTTTTTGCAGAGGGAGTCCTTTGCACGAGCTGGTACCAGTCACATACATTGGTATCATGGTCCCCAAAGAGGCGAAAAGAACAGCAGTAATTTCAGTTCTATTTTCAGAAAAAAATAAGGGAAAGGTGGTGGCAGCACCTGGGAATATTAACTTACACCTTCAGAGGTCACTTGATCACAGCACTACTGAAATTAAAGTAACTTCCTAAATTAACATTTGATCTTGCAAAGAATTTCATTTAGATAATTTGAAGGGAGAGGAGATGGAATGACCTTACTTGTAACTGCAAGCCGCTGCCTAAACGTGGCAGCTTGCAGCTACGCTACCCATGATGAACAGTTTATACAGCTGCGTGCCTTTGATTTGAGAGTCTTGGATGCTTCGGAACATGGCCATGAGGTGGGAAATATTCTGAAGGTCAGTAATGTTTACTCTGTTAGATAAAAAAGGAGTGTTAGTCCTGGCAATAAAGCAGTCATATTTTCACAAGTACATGGGATATATTAGATTCATTTTGAAAAGAATTTACTTTTTTTTTAAAGAATCTGAAATATATTTATAAAATCTCTACAATTTGCCCCTTTTCTATTTTTGACAGACTTAAGGCTAGAAGCATACACAAAATCATTGTGTGTGGCCTCCAGAGGT